AAAAAAAAAAAAAAAAAAAAAGTCTTTACTTTTAAATGAATATCAGTACATCAAGTAATAACATGTAACAAGTTCTTGAATTCTATCATCTAGTAATTTTGATTAAGAGAAACTAAAAGCAGCCCAACAACAATTACACTAGTATTCACTGTCCTAACCATTAACAGAAATGGACTGTGTTAAGGCTGGCAGCTGCTTCACACAGATTACAAATAACTACTTATTCCCTTTTCGTAGATAAAGCCCCTGACCATCAAGAAATGTTAGGGCAAAATAATTATTTAATCCCGTTCTTTCTTCAAAGAACTGTTTTTCTTTTTATTAGATCTAAGAAAAAAAAAAGTCAACCTTGATATCTATGTTGCTTGAGCTAAAAGGCATAGGAAAAGAGGCAATGTGTACTCATTAAGTTTCTAAGAAATATGAAGTAAAAAGATAAAATCTTTAGATAAGATCTAAGTCTGTACAAGGAAGCTAGATTTGCTAGTCTCCAAAAAGTGAAAGGACCTTCTGTGTGATACACAGAAATAATTTAATGCCTTTTCATAAGAATATAACTGGGGCTTCACTGAAGCTACATATTCCACGAGGGCATCTAAAATAGCAATCCGTGGAAAAGGGGCTTCCTTCTCCTCTCTTACCCATTTGCGTGGTAGTTTTTATGGATTTCTGGCCAGATGTTCCAGACCAGGAGGTTGTCCAAGATTTCATCCCTGTTATGCCAGAAGTGGGCTGCAGAACCATCCTCTCCTCCAGGGTCTCCTTCTCTGCTTCAGTGCTGCAGCTGCCCTGGCCTTGAATTCCTTCTCCCGCTGTAGGCCATACCGTTCAGCTTCACCCGGGCTTCCTTGGCCTGCTTCAGCCTCTGGGTCTTTGCTTGCGGCCTCGGACGCCTTCTCCAGGCCCACCGCTGGCTGGTCCTGCAGCAGTGGCAGGAACCCCTGCTACTGGCTAGCCGAGGAGATTCATGATTCTCACTGTACTAGACCAGCCCTTTGAATTTATTAGACGCTGATATTTTTCCTCTTGAGGCGATTCATTCTCAGTTTGACCTTGGTAACAGGAACCTCTCAGAATCTTAGAGATTCTAGAGAAATCAAAGAATTTGCCCCAAAGTATGAGGGTAGCAAACCCTGAAGCCTAGAACTACAGTTTCTTCAAGCATTGCCTCAATTAGTACTTATGAGTAAGTAACTTAGAGTGATAATGAAGATAACTTTTCTGAGTGCTTCATTTGCATGAATTAACATATTTAGAACTGTAATGCCATGTGCAGTATGAATACCTAAAAGGGTAGGTGGCATTTATCCCCAGGCTGACAAAAGGTTGGAGACTTGGCCGAAGCCACACAAGAAAAAATCCAGATTCCTGCCTTCCAGACCCATTTTCTTTCTGTTACACCACACTTCCTTTCCAAAGAAAGCCTAGTCGAGGCTTATGGGATTTCTTGGTGACCAGGAACATTTTCCATCAAATCAAATTAAAACTATAAAAGCCTAATTCTGTAAAACATCCTGCTGAAAAAATATAATTTTGAAATCTTTAGCTTTTCGTGTTTCTTTGTTGGGTGTTTTCTGACATGTATGTAAAACCTGGAGAAGACACTTCTTTTATGAGACTGTGGGTCTCGTTTCAACTGAAGACCCCTTTGTACTATCAATGATTTTACATCCTAATTGTCTGCAAATAAGAGGTTCTTGGCCAGGCGCGGTGGCTCACGCCTGTAATCCTAGCTCTCTGGGAGGCCGAGGCGGACGGATTGTTTGAGCTCAGGAGTTCGAAACCAGCCTGAGCAAGAGCGAGACCCCGTCTCTACTAAAAATAGAAAGAAATTAATTGGACAACTAAAAATATATAGAAAAAATTAGCCGGGCATGGTGGTGCATGCCTGTAGTCCCAGCTACCTGGGAGGCTGAGGCAGGAGGATCGCTTGAGCCCAGGAGTTTGAGGTTGCTGTGAGCTAGGCTGACACCACGGCACTCACTCTAGCCTGGGCAAAAGAGTGAGACTCTGTCTCAAAAAAAAAAAAAAAAAAACTGCTGAATGCCAACATTGTGTTTAAGTGGTGGTGATACTAAATTTGTTTTAAGTTGTTTGGTACTGGTTTGTTTATCCACACACGCTTTTCCCCCCATTTAACTTACTACTTCTTTAACTTTTGGAGCTTGCTGTTGAATTAAGGATCATAGAAGATCTTTCCTCCCCTCCTTCACTGAGCATTTGTTAAGAATTTCGCATGGGCTTATCTCATTTAATCCTTACGATGACCCTATGAGGTACATGCTGTCACTGTCTCCATTTTCAGATAAGGAAACAGGCTCAGAGATATGAAGAAACCTGCTAAAGAGCAAGCATACAGTGGCAGATGGATTTAGGACCCAAATATTTGTGCATCAAACTCTTCATTGAAGGGCCCCAAAGAGGCCTTTGAACAGTGGTGGTCAAAATGTAAAACAGAAAAAAAATGTGGCCAGTGGATTACAAACTTTTAAAAAATTTGAAACTCAATGGCCTCTTTACAAATAAGAAATCAGCTACGAAACAAAGAGGGGGGTTCTGGAGACCATATGGTGAATTAGGGGGAAAGCGGAGGGCCCCTGCCACCCTACGATGCGGCCTGATGCTATTTAAACCCTCCCAGGGCATAGAGAGGAAAGAAAGTCTTCACTATTGTTTTATATAAAACGGTACTGATTCTGATACCAAAATCTGACAGAGCATACACAAAAACTATGACCAAATTAAATACAAATACAAGCATCTTAAAACAACATCAAAGAGAACCTGACAGTGTATTAAAAGAATAGTACACCATGGAGCTTTCCCTAGGAATCCAAAAATGATTCAACAGGGAAAAAACCATTACCATAGACAACATCTAAGATTGGAGGAAAAAACTGGTCAATGATGGCTTCTGGGAAAAAGCATGAATAGAGTTTCATGATACAGGTCAACTTTTCGAGGAAGACTCTTAGCATTATAAAAATATAAGAAACCTTCCTTAACATGATCTAGGAGGAGAAGAAGATGGTCTCAGAGTCAGCATCATGGTTAACAGGGAAACATTAAAAGCAGCTTCAGCGAAGTGTGAAATTAGGAAAAGATGTTTGGTGCTACTATGTCATTAACACTAAAGAAAATGAGGGATAAAATTTGGAAAGAAAGAAAAAATATTATTTGCAGTGTGATTACCTGGAAAGCTCGAGAAAATCAACCTCGTGCTATTAGAAACAAACAAAAAATCAGAGAAGCAGGCAGTAACAGAACAACATCTGCAAAATTATTGTCTTTCCTACTTGTAAATAATAATAGAA